AGCTTCATTCAGCATCTCGCTGACGCAAGGCTTCACTAACTGAACAGACTACACCAAGTGTGCTTTGCATCGCCTCCTCCTATTCTGCAGCTGCCAGTAACTTCTGTCTTCCTTAATGTTAAGTTTGATCACTAAATTATCACGTCTAGACAAACACATTCCTTGTTAGACAAGTCTACAACTTGTGTCACAGCGCTTTACAAGAGCGTGTTAGAGAGCAGACTCCTTCAGTACTAACTTCACTACTCCCTGCGAGCAAGGAAACCACATGCAAGCAGCATCTCAGCTTTCGGAACTTCCCCATCACCTGAGCAGACAGCTGGGTGCTGGGGAACAGAAGGGAGCTTGGGATCCTGGCAGCACCACGCATGTTGGGCTGGGAGATGGAGCTCAGGCGGTGCAGCTGGGCAGAACCACAGCTCAGTCCTTGGAGGGGAGCTGCTCTGCATCTCTGCTGAGCGAACATCCTGCTCCCAGCCTGGCCAGGCCGTACCCAGCACCGCACCAGGTGAAACTATGGACATGCTCGTTTCCTCCCAGTCTTACTGCACTTCTCTTAGATTACTTAAAAAGGAGCGGGGAACCAAGAGACCTGCAGGAACAAAGCCAGCTCACAGCTTTGTAGCACCGCTGAATGTCCTCAGCACCAGAAAGAGGTAAGGAAGGAAGCTGCCCTTTCTTTCAGACAATACAAAAGAAGCCTTAAGCGTGTCATTACTATAATCGTTACCTTTGCCTCTGGTACCAGCTCTTTTTCTTGACCCAGAAAGCAGCTACCACACCTATCAGGTAAGCATCACGAAGTAACTTTTAGGGAAGGACACCATCCTACTCAGAGTCAACTGCTGATGAGTGAGCAGTGTGCAACTGCTATCAGGAAAGAAACCGAACTGAACTCTGTACATTAGCAGAAAGTTGGCTTGGTTTTAAATATTCTCATAATAATGGAAAGTCCCCGTTCAGACTCAGCTCCCTCGCACTGCGTGTCTGCAGCAGGAGCACAACGCAGAACCAGGCTCCAGGCTTTGCAGACTATGGGTTATTAAGGTGCAAGTGTTCTTACGGGAGCTCAGGAAAGTTTGCGATAATATCTGGCTTTCCCACCTCTTCCCACATACAAAGGCTTTAATAAACTTTAACAAACACACAAGCAAACAAACCCTGAATTAAAAAGAAATTTAAATTCCTGAGCTGAAGGCTTCTAAGCAACTCTGACATCCTCCAGCACCCGGGCAGTGACAGCAGATGGGCTCACAGTGACACCCACAGTGATGGCAGCTCTGCATTCTGCAGCACCACTCGGGGCAAATGCTGCCATTGCAGCACAGGACCTTCTGCCATGACACTGCCCACATCGTCCCTTCCATTTCCAAACAGCAAAGAGCCTCCTGCTCACCAGTGCTGGACAGGGATTTCTACCACAGCTACAGTTTGGTGCTCAAACCCACCTCGGTCACTGCTGGGAATGCTGCAACCTTATGGGCAGACACCGCTCTCCCCCAGCTATGAGTGCTCTGTCATTGCTTTTGTTTTAATTTTTGCTGCCAACACACCTCATACGTAACCATTCGTCTGCAGGCTCTTCCAAGAGTGGCTCACGTGCTGGGAGTGGTGGTGGTGTCATTCTTTTATTAAGCTGTCATTGGTACTGGTTATTTGGTGCATCCAAACCAAAATATTAAATCTGCAAAGCTAAGAGAGCAGTAACACAGCACATCCGTTGTAAACAATTTATTATTATTTTCTACCTCAGTTACTTACAGGATAAAAGTCATAAAAAAAAAAAAAGCACAGATGGACTATTTACAAAAAATGAGAAAATTCACAATAGCTGAAATGTTTGCAAATCATGCACACTAAGACAAGTTCACAAAAGCAAAGCAATTCATAGCAAAAAAAAAAAAAAAAACAAACAAAATAATAAGAAGCCATACAGATTAAAAAAGCTATTGCCTGCAGAAAAGTAAAAAGGAAACTAACCAATCGTTACATCAAGCATCTTTAATGAAATGAACAGCACAGCCGTGTATCGCAGAGCCTTTGACACCGACATTTTAAACAAGTGGATTAACAAACATTAAAATGCATTACAGTTCTACTGTAAGCATGCAATTTACTTCTCACAAACTTATAAGGTAGGTAGAAACACTTAAAAAAAAGATACCATGTGTGTTTTCTACCCAAACCAGCAGAATCTGGTCTTGTTAAAGCGGAGCCAATGGACAGCAGCAGATCACCAGTTTGCAGTTCGGGCAGTTGGGTGGAGATTGAGAGGTGCAGCACAGCTGAAAGCAGCACAGCAAAAGCCCCTCCTGCCCAAATTTAAGCAACCTGCTCACAATTTGCAAGCAAAAGCAATTGCAGGAGGTGGAAGCATCGCCCGCTGCAGGAGGCGGGGGGATGGCATTGAGGGGATGGCATTGAGGGGATGGCACTGAGGGGGGGACGCTGCGGTTCAGTGGTGGCCACACAGAAGCCGCCGACCCCAACCCCGAGGCAGCAGCTGCCCCAGGCAGAGCCGCCCCAAGCACAGCCAGGCACGGCCATGGGTGGGTGCTGCAGTGTGAGAAGAGCTCGCTGGGGACAATCCAACCCTGATCCATTGGAACCCCAGCAAGAGGAGACGGCGGCCTCGCTCCGCTCTCGACTTGTGCTGCTGAACAAAGTGCCAGCATCCCTCTGGGGCCGGCTGTGAGGCCCAACTGTTGTTTTCACTCCCTGGTCAGAATTATGCTTAAGAAGTTTGTGAGAAGTCATGCCTTCGTAATGCCCCTCTCCCCATCCCTGTGAGTTACATTCCAAGTGGGCATTAAAAACTCATAACAAAGCAGAGGGAAAAAACAACAAAATTAAAAAAAAGATAATAAAAAGCAAAACTCAAAGCAGTGAGGATATGGAGCCTTTAAAAAAATAAAGTAAAAAGTCCATTCAATCAAACCAGCCAGCAAGAGCAGCAATTTCTCAGTGGACATTGATATTAACATGGACCACCCAGGCTTTGTCTGTCTCTCTCTCTCATTAGCACTGTAGTAAACCCCGATTAATTTGTTATGCATCTTTAAGAACTAGTTGATAAAAATTATGTCTTGTGAAATCGGCAAATAGTCTGCAAAGTGAAATAAGAACAGAAATTAATAGATTAAACTGAAAAGATAAGTCCCAGAAATTAAAAAAAAAAAAAAAAAGACACAGAAAGGGGAGTGATTGTAAAAAATAAATAAATAAAAAGAAGAGGCTAAGTGCTGAGTTATAAAGGCCTAGAGGAAAAAATAACGATGGGAGAAGATAGAACAGTCGCCCAAGTGCCTGTGTGCGCTGTGCTGCAAGGCCAGCGGGCAGAACGGCAGATGTCAGACCCTCTTAGCAGGCTGCCCATGCTCCCCAACACCCCACGTCCCACCCAACACCCTGTAGCCCCCCAACGCCGCCGCACTCACTGCCCCAGGCGCCCTCCCGGCTCCATGCAGTGCACACTGCACACCGCCTGACCCCCAGCACAGCAGCAGCCCCCGCACTGCCGTGAGTGGTGCTGCTCCTGGTGCCAGCCTGGCCAGGAGCTGCTGCTTCTCCTGCCAGCCCCGTTTTCAAGCTGCCCCCGGTGCAGGCAGCACGGCCAGGCTGGCACTGAGTGCAGCGCTCGCTGGAGGTAACGTTTCTCTTTGATTTTCTCCTGTGCCACAATCTCTGCAAGAGACTGAACACAACCAGACAATCATGGGAAGATCACCCAAACCTCCAGGACAGTGGATGTCAGGATGGCTGAAGCTCAACACACCTCCACGTTCAACAGCCAGACACGCTCATTTTAGTTATGTTTATAATTAAAGCCACCTGAGCTGTGCTGATTTTCACCATGTAACCCATTGAGACTGTCTCTTGTCTCTGCTCTCACACAGATCAGTCACCACAGAAACCCCACGAGCCTGCCCTGCTGCTGTGGGGCACACAGGGCACCAGCAGTGCTGCCCGCCCCAGCAGCACACTCTGTTCATTGCTGTGCAAAGGGCACAGTACAGGTGGGGAATAGGCAGGTGAGCATAACACAGAACTGCTGCATCTGCAAAGCCTAGAAATAGAGAAAAAAAATCTAACACCGGCTTGCCTCGATGCTACTCATCCTGCAGACACCAGATCTGCAGTGCAAGGACATCATTCATCCTATGGATGTTAATAACACACATCCTTTCCACGCAACACTCCTTCCTATTGATGCCACAGCCATATCTATGACTCACATGCCTAAGGCACAGCCAAGCCCTACTCCTTGTCCTCTGTCCCACCCAGGATCACCCTGACAAGCGCTTGAGAATTTAATCTGCTGCTGCAGCATGCAGGGAGGTTAGCTCCCAACACAGCACCAACACAGCCGCTGTAACTCAGCACACAGCACTGACCACAGCAGCCACAGCTCTATGTAATCTAGTAACATCCCTGAGAAGCACTATGGTGAAGGAAAAAGGGCTCTCAGCCCTTTTTCTCAGCAGTGCTCACAGACCTGGGAGGGGAGCGAGCACAGCACAGGATGCCGGGAAGGACGCGGCGGGCACCGAAGGAGGCAGCAATGTTGGAGGGCAGAGCGGCCCTCCTGCTGGATGCGAACGTACCACGGTGTGGGGAGCATGTGCAAGGCTGTGTGTGTGTGTGTAAGGCTGTGTGTGTAAGGCTGTGTGTGCCCAGGCACAAAGCTACGGTATGCGGAAGGAAGAACCCCTCGGAGGGAGCTAACAGCTCTGAAATCAGTTCTGCCGCTTCACGCTTTAACTTAAGTTTTGTTTTCAAATAACCAGTACCAATTCACACGTTAATAAAGATGTATTAAATATATCGTCTGTATAGATATGTTTTAATCGCAAAAAAATATGTTATGTGAGATGCTCCCTGCAGACCTGCCTGCCTCAACCTGCAGCTACGGATTAGAAAAAAAAAGAAAGAAAGGAAAGAAAAAACTAAAGAAGGAAAGAAGGGAGAAAGAAGTGAATCTGCAAATGAAACGTACGTACCTGGAAACTGATAGCTGTAACTTGGGGCAAATCCAGGATATCCTCGGCCATATGTCGCGACAAAATTCGGGTAACCTTGATCACAGAAACATAGAAATAAATAAACAAACAAGTAAAACTGAGAGAAAATGTTTTAAGATTAACAGAGGCTTTCTGATTATAAGCACAATGCCAAATAACACTGAGGATGGGCAAAACTTGATTTTACAGGGAATATGCAGAAATGAGATTTATTCTGCTCATGCAAAACGCAGGAAAGGTTTCATTATCATCTGCAATAGAACCATCCAGAGATGGAAGGCTGCTGATCACCCGCCTCGCACGAGCGCTGTCACTCCTGTAATTAACATGCACTTTGGTGCCTGAAGCCCAAGCACTGTGCATACTTGTTAGCTGGAAGAGTAAATGCCAAATGCTAAGGCTAAACACATAACACAGGTTTGCCCTGACATTTGGAGAGCTTACAATGAATGTACTTTGCTTCAGAGCTATTGACAGTTGGAGATTAAGGCAGTAGTAATTCTTTATCCCAGGAGTGTGAAGGACAACAGTTAACACATCAAAGAGTTGGAGGAGCCACGGCAATGAGCCAGAGTCAAAGGCTTTTAATTTTTCAGGAAAGTAAAACCCAGAGACGAGAACCGCTTCCTAAAGGGATCGCTCAGACACACGCACCCAACCTCGGGCAGCTTTTGAAGTTGTATTATGAGAAAAACACCATTCGAGGCCATTTTGCTAATAAAAATGTTGGAGGAACCACACGAAGGAGCAATGCTGCCCACCTGAACACAGCAGGTGGAAGGCAAAGGGTGCTGCCAGCGGGGCAGGGCCACGGCACACCAGTGCCCTGCTGCTCCTCCTCAGCACCTCCTGCTCAGCGCTTACCAACAGCGACTCTCTCCTGTAATTCTAATGCACTAAGTGCTACACAGCATCCCCTGTGTCCACAGCATCAATCGGTGCACCAAGACTCCTCCAGCCTTCAGGAAAGGCCCCTCTGGACCAAGGACCATCCGCAGACGTTTGGTGTTGCTCCACCCGAAGCCAAAGGCGTCCTGCACTAAGGGCACTGCAGGAGGCCTGGCGTCCCCACAGCCACTTACCCCTGTTCATACCACATCCCACAGCAATTCTTCTGCCAGGGCAAGTCCCTCCGATTCAATTTTAACATACATATAACATGCTATTAATCACCATCTAAAACTGGAAGATAAAAGTGCTTGGATGAATTCTGAAGCAGCCATTAGGCACAGCCAGGGGAAAGCAGGCGGCAGCCGCAGGACAGCACTCCGGCTTCCCGAGGTTCGTCCGTTCTGCTCAGCCCATGTATTTGTTTCACAGCTCAGCAGCTGGATTCCCTTCAAAATTAATCACTTCTGTCGCTAAATCAGATCTTTCAGAGTTATGCTTCACAAAACTTTTTCCCTTTTTCAAAAAAAGAACCAAGCCCTCCACTACCACCGCACTGACAAATGGATTATTTGCCAAGTGAGCAACACCCCTACGAGCACCGCGAGCACCACCACCGCCCTGCCGCAGCACTGCTCTCCCTCTGAGGTGCAGGGGCTGCCCGGGGGGGTCTCAGCTGTATCCCAGCTCTCAGCGCTCTCTCGGTCAGGCAGATGGAATCATAAATTTACAATACAACATTACTTCAATTTTCCTCTTCATTTACTGCTGCAGTGCCCCGCTCTGCTCTAACGAGTCGAAGCCCGATCCGCGCAGGGGAAATGGGCTGGCTGAATATCAATAGCGCATTAACACCAGGCCCATGTGGCTGCTTCATCAAGCCAAATTACGGCCATGCTGACCTATCCACCATTTCCATTAGATGCCACAGTCATCCTATGCTGGGCAGTGAACAGTTTATTTGCTTCAGTACTCCTAGAGAATGACCCAACCCTCTGATTATCCCCCACTGTAAACCAAGAATCCAAGTTTTACCCAGGTTGCCTTTTCTCAAGCAAGACCCCAGAGCCTGCTCCAACCAAGACCCCAAAGCACGCTGGCAAGGCCAAACTCCTTGACCCCACAGTGTCATCCAGAGGCGGTGGGTTGAGCACACCAGCAGCCTATGCAAGTTGACAGCAATGGCTGCAGTCACTGTGCTGAGCAGCAGCAGTCACAGCGATGCTTCTGTTGGAAGGAACACCCAGCACTGCCACTGCCACAGCGTGAGGTCAGTGTCCTGTCAGGGGGAAGGAAAGCGAAGGCTCTGCTTCCAATGCAGGAACAGCTGCAAACAGATCAACACTGACCTTTTCACTTACAGTTTATGAGAGAGTTCCACAACACCACTGGTATTAAAGCCCAGGGTAAAGGCCAGTCACTACAGGCATGTCACAGAAAGGGAAATGGAGCAGAGCGCCCAGCCCTCTGTTGTGCCCACAGGAACCTGCGGGCCTGGAGCCTGAGCTCATGGCATGAGGTCACCAGGGTGGTGGGACACCAAGCCAGGACCTTGGCTCTGCATGGCCCCCATGTTTAGATGCTGTGATCCAGGATGGACAAACCTCACAGCTAAAGTATGGATGCATGGAGTGACTGCTTCGAACCTGGGGACTTCTGCTTTTACACTTAATTCAAGAAAATCATCATCTCCCCAAGAGAGAGTTGCTCCCGTGGTGCAAAAAAAAAAGCAGATCTGTCCCAGTGCAAGGCCAGCAGAAGCCAGCAGCTCCAGAGGTCCTGCAGAAAGCTTGTGTCCAATACACGGCTTCCTTCCTCAGCCTGCCTCACAGGCAGCTGCTGCTCTATCAGACAGACTCTGAGGGAAAAAAGGAATGACTTTCTTTGAAGGGCACAAGCTTCTTTTATGCATGAGTTCAGCCTACCTCACCTGAACGTGTGCAGTAATGCAGAGCCCTGGTCTGCCTGGCGCAATGATACAAGCAGCCTGGCAGAGACTTCCTGAAATTTGGTGTTCCTATCAGACATTATTTCAGCAGTCTCGGAGCACAAACCTTACAGACTGTGCTCTATCTCTGGAGAGGTTACTTCAAAATTAAACACCAGCAAGCCCAAGGTACCCATCGCCAAGTGAAGCTGATGCTGTGGGCCCCAGCTCAGACAGTGCAGTGCAGCAGCCACCCTCAGTGCCTGGTGTTCCAACTTGAGCACGTGGCAGCACTCCATCCTAGACACAGCTGCTGCCAGCAGGAGGGAAGAGGAATGGAGCCCACCTGCTCTTCTCTTTGTCCCTCTTTACTTTTCTTGGCTTTTTTTTTCCCCCCCGAGAGCAGAAGGTAACACAGCAGCACCTACATGGCTCTGGGTGATGAGTCTGCACCGTGACCGGCAGGCAGGCAGGGTCTCCTGGATGCAGTGTGAGCTTTCAGGCCCCACTTGCTCTTGTCCAGCTGAGCACAGTGCTGCCCACCAAGGGGCACAGCACTGCTCACTGTGACATACGAGCTGCCATGCTGTGGCCGGGTGGGCAGGCAGGGAGAGGAGATCACAAACTGAACACGCTCCAGCCCACTCTTTATGCAGAGTGGCTAATTAATGTTCCTGGCCTCCCCCGAGGACGTGTGCTTCTCATCACCAGACAGCGACTGAGACAGCCCAGGAGCAGCCCTGGCAGAAGGCTCAGCCTGCCTGCACTCTCACAGTCAAAAAATCCTTTCAGAAGAACACTTTAATTTTGTTCCAATCAACCAAATCATCACAGAAGCGGCTGCCTGTGCACCTTTAGACCCCGGCTGCTGCAGGCTCCTCAGGGAGGCTATGATTAATGAAAAAGACCAACTTCCTTAATAGCTTTGGAGGGAGTCACTCTCCACTCTTTCCTTTGGGTTGTCTTGTGCGTTCGCTCCTCTGATTTCCTGCTCTGCCTGCAAACGGCATCTGGAGAAGGTGACCTTGGACAAGGGCTCCTGGAAGCAGGTACAACAGCATTCTAAGAGCAGCTTCCATCCACTCCATCTCAGCCCAGTCAAACAACTGAAGCAAGGAGGGGAGTCAGTCTGCCACCGGCCTCGCTGGGATCTCAGCAAAGCACTCTGCTGCTTCAGACTCTCCTGGCAGCCCACTGTGCCGGATGCTCCACAGTGTGATGGGTTAATTATGCCCTCCCCACACTGGGGTGGGGTTCTCCATCAGGGCTTGCTGTCCCCCTCCCAGCCTCAAAATGAGCCCTGGGGCTCAGAACGGCCCCCTACATCGCAGGCTGCAGCTCTGTTAGTCTGCACATCTTTAGTTAACATGGTGCACCGTAGCAAGCAGAAAATGAAAAACAACAGTGCGAGTAGATAACGAAGCATCTGGCCTTCAACATAAATCAATCAGCAATTCTGAGCAAGCCACTCTGGCTTAAAATCTAATGAGCACACTGAGGGCTGCCCTGCGAGGAGCACTGGCCAGCCAACCCCATGCAGCAGGTGACCACAGTACACAACCCAGCTGAAAGTTATCCACAGATGATCCACATGCTGGGAACTCCCCTGTTGCTTCTTCAAGCCCAAAGCCATCTTCTTCCCCAGGAGGCAGCCATCACTCCCAGCGCACTCCCGAGGGCTGAGCTTCCCACTGAGGTCCCTGGCACAGAGCCCAGCTGCAGAACTGCTCCCAGCATTGCCTCCACTTCTGGCAGAGGGGCTGCTGCCCTGGTTCCCACCCCCAGGCTGTGCCAGTGCAGCAAGGAGCACCCACCTGCGCCTCCTGGACCACCAGCAGTGCCACACAGAGGGACTGACTTGAATAAGATAAATATTTTAACCATAAAATGCAATCTCCAGACACTTCGGGGCAGGGTGGTGGTGTAGCAGAAAAACAGATGTTGGCTTGAAATAACCGAACTACACATCCCAGCAACTAATCATTCTGGCCACACAGAGAAGTGCCATTAATTCAGATAATGCCAACATGGCAGGGAAATTCTTCCCCATCCAATCAAGCAGTGCCTGAAGTCAGACATCTCTGCAGAACAGCCCAGTTTTCACAGGAATCAAACCCTCTGCCCTGACGGCAGCTCAGTGTGCAGGCCCTGCTCCAGCCGCTGGGTGCCTTCAGCAGAACGGTGCTGGAGGGGAGGGGTGAGCACTATCCTGCCCTTCTCCAGCTGCTCTGCCACCCTGGGCAGAAGCCATAGAGCACCCATGAAGGGCCATGGAGAAGGACTGTGGGCTGAGATGGGGCACTTCTGGCTGAGAACACCCCCAGCTGCCCCCCTTGTGCCTTACTGTGTGTGACAAGGGAAGGTGCAGCAACACAAAGGGAGCAGAAGGTTGGCAATATGTGGGTTTTACAAAAGGACACTGGCAATGGACTAGCAGCATTTTGGCTTAGCAAATCTGAGGACAGAATATCAAGGGGTTGTCAGACTATACAGGAAGAAGAACCACCCAGGCAGAAACAAATGAGAACCAATTATAACTAAATAGACCTCGCGCACAAATAGAATTTTGCCATTAAATATCATTTATCCCATTTAATTAGTATTTTCTGGACACAATACTCCGGACCAAAATACCATTCCATCTCCTTGAAACTCGTAATTATTGTTGTGACCTATGCTGTTATGCATCCCCCTGCTTTCTCCACCTTGCGTGCCATTTAAGAGCCAGCAAGATTTTCAATTATCTATGCCAAACTGCCAAAGATACCTTTAAAAGAAGAGGAATAACGCGCGACTGAACTCCTCTAAAAAAGGGGAGAGATCACTTTTAGTCGGAATGAACACACTGCATCTTTCATCATTCTATTTTTGCGACAAAGACTAAAACAGGCTATTTAAAACACCCATTTAAATGCTAATTCTTATATTCCAGGGAGGGGGCAGTTCATCATTTCCCACCGACGGGATTCTTTCCCCCCAGCCCTGCTGAGGTTTGGGGCTCACCCCCACACGGGTGCTGAGCAATGGGCTGAGCCCTGGCAGACGCTCGGTGGCACACTTACCCAACATTCCCATCCCCAGCATGAAAGCGTCCATGGTGTACGGCAATCCGCGCGCCCTTCCTCTCGTCCCTGGTGGAAACATCACTTCTTTAGGTTGTGCTTTCTTACATTCTACCTATTGAGCAGAAACACGTACAAATGAGATGCAAATGAATTCCATGTAAATGTCAAATGCAGAACTGATCTACTTAAGGGGGGAGATTTATTTTCAGCGTTTTCCTGCCCCCACCGCCTCCCCCTCACGACGAACTTTCTGAACAGTATGAATGGATTGAGGAGAGCACACGTGTGCTTCTTTCAGCGCACCCAGCACCGTAAGGACGACAGAAAAGCTGACTGAAGAAGTTGCTGCGGTCCTGGAAGCAAAACCCGCGCTGCGTTTTCTCTCAGTGACACTTTGCAGGCGTGGAATGGATGGAGGAAAGTCCTCAGCACAGCTCTATTACAATCAATAGCACAGAACGACTCTCGGTGATCATTACAAAAAGCTCCTTTTAAAACAGGAATAAGGAATCAATATTTCTGCCCAGCAGAAAATTTCTGTAAACCCTATTAATAAACGATCTGCATTCTTTCACTTCCAGTTACTCCCGCTGCCTCTGAGTCCCTCCACGCCACAGCAGTCACCTCTGCTTGCTTCTCCTGAGCCCCTGCAGCAGTCCAAGGGCCAGCCAGCTCCAGGGAATGGTTTGCAGGGTGCTGGACACCTATGAGTGCCACTCCACTGCCCCTGTGGGATGGGCTGTGACCATCCCGTATCCCCAACCCCTCTGGCAGCGGTGGGTGAGCAGTGACAGCAGCAGACAGGCCCGGGGCTGTTGGATAACGTGGCTGAACATCTCCGTTCCTAATAGCCCTATCAGTGGCTGTGTGTTCATTGTCTTATGAAAACCGACCGCCTGTTTCTAGGCAACCTGATCAGCGAAAATTTCAGGTTTATACAATTTTCATTTAGGTAACATGAAGGTTAACTGACTGTAATGGCAGTGTTTTAAACAAAACCACCTACTCCTCCCCTTTCTGCTGCAAATCTTGTGCAGATCGTATTTACGTCGCTTGCCTGCAACACACCTCAGTGTTACAGCACTCAGATCTGCCAACACTGTCAGAATGAGCACTTCTTGCAAGCAAACTGCCTGAACCCAGGGAAGGCTGGAGTGAAATTCCTCTCAAGTTCTCCTTTTCCACCTTTCTCTCAACAAGTATTGAGGTCCTTAAAAGAGCTGTGGGGAAGGGCTGTAAGAGATGGGGTAGCGCAGCAAAGCCCCGCAGTGGCATGCCGTGCGATGGAAAGCACCACGGTGCACACTGGGGGCCTTGGTATTAAGGTAAAGAGAGAAGGAAGAGGGAGCAGAAAGCTCTGTCAGGGAATTCAGCGGGCCCTGCAGCAGCGACGTGCCACAACTCTGCCTCTGAGAGCACGGGGCTCAAATGCAGCCGAAGCACCAACACCAGCTGCGCCGACACCTCGGCCACGTCCTGCCAACCGCTCCTCGTGCGCTGCTGAGTCCTTCAACAGCCCTGTGCCAATCTAACCTCTCTAACTGCAACTGGGTGGCCGCCAGAGGTGCTCCATCCCATTTCTCAGCACATCCTTAGGGTTCGCCACTACTCACAGTGTCATGGAGGCATTGGTTACACCTCACAGCTGCTCTCACTGCAATATTCAGAATGATGAAAACAATGTAGCCTGGCTGGACGGACAATTAACAGGAAAATGAAGTTTGGATTAGCACCGTTAGAAACAATAACCCAGTAATTAGCTTTTGCAACCACAAAACAGCCTACTGCTGCTCCCTGAAAGACTGGCTTAATTTATGATTTTCACAGCACACGAGGATATAAAGGGAACGGTACTGAGCTGCAAAGAAGTTTTAACATGGTTTTAAAGGAGAAGAAAGAGTCACCCGCAGGAAAAAGAAATAATTTCTGAGCCTCGTAAACAAACACACCCCATAGCAAGGGCAGAAACACTTGTTACTGCCCAGCTGAGATGACTCCTGTGTGGGGCGGGTGACAGGATGTGCAGGGCTGGGCTGCTCGGGTTGGGGACGGCGCAGCCCCAGGGCAGCACGGGGACCCCAGAGCCCAGGCAGGCTGCCCCATGGGCCACGCTCTGCGTCCGCTGATGGCACAGCCATTGCCCAGCTCTGTGCCGCCCAGGAGCCGGCCCGATGTGGGCACGCTGCATGCAAACCTGAATCACACACAAGCTTTTAGTTCAGCATTTCTGCACATCTTAATAATTTCCAGATTTTTTCCGCCTCCCCTGTACGAGGGATGTGCTCCAGTTTCAGCAGCCTAACAAAGAATGGTTTAAGGCTGAAAGAAATTAAAAAAAAAAAAAAAAAAAAAAAAAAGCAAAAAAAGCAGGGAAACTAAAAGTCACTGTTTTTGTTTAGTCTAGTTGGCAGAATTAACGTCGCGCCGGGGTGCTCCTGGGTCAGATGAGCAGTCAGAGCCACCAGAGCCCAGGATGGCTGAGACGGGGAGTGAAAAGCCTCTCACACCCAGCACAACAAGGCGGGCTGTCAGCTCGCAGCACCACGACAGCTCACAAAAACACGGCCAACAGCTTTCCAGGGAAAGCAGAGCACTCCCAGATTCACAGCACACAAAAATCTGCTTTGCCACCCAAAGACAAGGTGACTTTGTCTAGCTGGCCTCGCGGTTAGCCGGGGCTGGGCTGCCCTGCTGCCCCTCAATGTGAGCACCAGTGAGAGCTGCAGCCACGAGCGGTGCTGCCCCGTGACCGCTGTCAAGCATGGCCTCAGCTGGGCACAGCTCTGGGATGGAAACCCAAAGCATGCAGCGTAACTCATGCTGCAACCACAGCTCAAAGGCTGTCGGTCCTGGCAGAGCCCAAGCAGCTCTGGCCCATCCAGAACAACACAACCACCAGTGGGTCCCACCGTGGGGCAAGGGGCAGATTGTCAGCCCTGCACCATGGAAGCCCACTCACAACAGCTGCAGAGAGGTCCAGGCCCAGGTACCCACATCACCCTGCAATGTGAACGACTCTGCTACAGCACAGATCTCAAAGCAAACGATCCCATCACATTCCTTTTCCAGCTACTTTTGCACCCCCTACAAAACTGGGCTTCTTTTGGCAATAATGACAATATTCTGGGGACATTTCATTTTGGTTTTATCTATTCCCCCGTCCTCAGAGTTTGGAGAAAACCCGTGGCCTCCCCCATCAATTCCAGCCTTCCATTTATTAAATACCTCTCTGGCATTTTCCTTTCACTTGCACACCGCTCGTTTAATATTACACTTGACATTCTAAGCTTTATGGATGGCAACAGAGGCAGAACGGGAGGGATAAAAATAACCTGCATGGGAAGGCAGGCTGCAGACGGGCCAGGGAGCGGCTGCTGACAAGAGACTGCGTGGGGCAGCTGCCAAAGCAGTGCTATAGAGCACAGCGGGCCGCCAGCACCCCTACAGCACAACACCAGGGAGAAACCAAACCAAGGCACAGGGCCAGGGGCACAGGAAGGCTGGCTGCTGTCAGCCCCGATGCAGCACACTGCCACATACGTGTGTGCAGGCTCTGCTGCTCCTGCATGGGTTTGGTAATTAATCTGCAGGCACATCAGCAGCACGATGAGTCAGTCCCAAGACAGGATCATGTCTCATCTCCTCCCTCGTGGGCTGCTTTTAAAATCAGTGCTGTGGGAGTGACAAGAAGAGCACGCTCGAGGCGCCCGGATCACACACCGGCAGGAACGCACCACAATTATTCACACCAGCAGAACACCCACCCGCTTTCTGCTGCTCCTTGCCATGCGGAACGCTTTCGCCCTGTGCCCTGCTCAGCCCGCCTGCCCACAGCCCTGCGCAGCCCTTCTGCAGGAGGAGCCTTTCCAGAGGGGCAGATCCTGATAGCAGAGCAAAACCCAACCTGATGGCTGGGGCAAAGGAAGGGCAACAACCACAGACCTCCCTGTGCCCCCAGCACACAGCTCCGCTGGAGGCTGCTCCTCCTGCTGGGGGCCGGCACTGTGCCTGCCCTGTGCAGCAGTCCTGCCCTATGCTCTGTGCTGCTCTGGGCTGCTGTCAGTGCCCTGCCAGCTCCTGCACCTCCCCACTGTGACTTACACAGAGAGTGAGCTGAGAGCCGAGCTGAGCTCCAGAGAAAAGTATGTGGTGTGAAGTAAGCAAACCCAGGGAGTGCTTTGTGATGGGCACTCACCTCGCATTAAGGAAATTCCTATTCTTCCTCCCTCACTGACAAACCTTACCCATATTTAAAGCATTCCTAATTTGTAGCAAGTCTGCTGCTCCTCGAGGCAGGAGTGTTGGGTGTTAACTCTCATTTAGTTTTAAGGCAGACAGATCAGCGTTTAGTGACTACATAGGGAACGGAACCTCGCCCACAACCCACATTCATCTCACACGAAGCATCACCAGCAGCAGAAGGAAACTCCAGAAGCAAAGTAGAGAGCAGTGTGGCCAGGCAGGGCAAGCTGCCCCATTCCTGCCCCGTTCCTACTCTGGACCCCAGCGCTGTGCCTGCTGGAGGGACGGCCGCTTTTATTTCAGATGCACATTGCAGTCAGGAACAATATGAAGAATATTATTTCAGTGCCCTGGGAAAAATTAGCAAGTCAAATATTGAATCAGGCCTCCAGCATATGCCAAGGAGATTGCTTTGATCTTATCCACACTAAAAGCTCCATTATTGAATTTAAAGTCTGTGAACACATATCAGACCAATATACAATGCATATCTGAATACACATTTGAGAAGCGAAGGATGTTTTGACAAAGGGAAAAAGAGTATTTCAGCTGAAAATATCAAAGTTTTCGCATCGATTGGAAGACAAACACCCTTCTCCCTCTGTCACATCGGCTTTACCAACAGGGCACCGTGCGACTTGGGGCTTGATGTCACCCAGGGAAAACTTCCTCATGGGCCGGGCAGCGCTGGCACGCTGCAGCACAGCCTTGGCTCTGTGGACACAGGGCTGGCAGCAGCCCAGGCCCCACATCCCAGCTCTGGGCAGAACACACACTTACCATTTTATTATTGATTTCATGGAAGTGGATTTCGCAGACTTTTTCCACCACATCTTCATTTTCAAAAGTAACGAAACCAAATCCTGTTCAACAGAGGAACAAAAAGGGGAGGGGGAAAGGAAAACGTTAGTGAGGTCAAACAGCTTTTCTTCTAACAAGGCATTATTTGCCATTTGGACTTTGGAATGCTTTCACAGGAATATGCTCATGTAAACACACCTGCCCTGCACAGCGCCGCCGCGGAACTCATTACAGCCTAATGGAGGTAGGAAGCATCACCTCAGAGGAAATTAACAGGGTTCTGTTACAGCTCTTCCATAGGATTTAATGGAGAATTAAAACCTCCTTATGGATTTTTTGATCCATCCAAAGAACTTAATGGATAGTTACACTCTGGTTCACAACGGCTCAGAAACGACAATCAGCTATATTTTCTTTTACACCTTATAGGTTTTTAAGAGCAATCTCTACAAAACCCAATTATATGTCTATGGAAGCGTATTGATTTTATCTCCTGTTTAATTCCAAGGGACTTCTCCATTAGGGCTGACTCATTGCAGGACAAAAAAAAAACCCAACAAACCAAGAACCCAGGCAGACAGCAGCTGGTTGCTGCCCTCCCCTCGCACCAAGCCAGCACTGACGACTTCAGCAAGGCAGCGGGGCCGCCAAGCTCCGGAGGTGCTCGTTTGTCCCCTCTTCCTGAATGACTTCCTCTAATGCCTCATCAGGACATCCTGAGGCCTCTCAGAAGTGTCAGTCAGAGGGCTCTCATCTCATCGCTCCTCTCCTCCACACCGCTGAGTCAGAGCTGTGGGGATGGGGGCTGCGTCAGGGCTGTTGGATGCCTGCTGCCCACCTGCAGCCCAGCACTGTGTGCTCTGCTGGCTGCACGGCCCTGCAGGGACACACGGCACCTCACCCCGAACCCACAGCACCAGGACCAGGCGGTGCCTTTTGGGAACATACAGCACAGGCAGCGATGGGAACGTACAGCACAGGTAGTGGCCAATGCACCCCTTGCTCTCTGAATCTTCTTGGGCGGATGGAAAAAAAACCAACACTAGAAATGGTTCCAGCACTTCTCTGAGGTGCAGCACATCATCCCACAGCACACCGCACCCAAACGCAGCGCTCAGAGCAATGCTTTGCATGTCAGCACCTACAGCTTCAAGCGTGGTGCTTGACCCAGCTCCTCTCTTTGCCTTCCAAACTGTTCCATTTAAATCCACCTCAAACAGATCCGCACTCACAACCGAATGTTTAACTGCCTGGGTGCAGCACCCCGGGGTGCCCTGCACAGTGCTGGCACTGTCACCACCACCACCTCCTCATTAGTAACTCATTAGTGAGTGCTGCAGCTGAGGATTTCTCATTGAGCTCCTGTCAGGTCTTGCTGCCAGGCTGGAGCCAGGAAGAGGAATTTAGAGGAGATTAGCATTAATACGCAGCGCAGCACGACAGCCTGCTGCAGGCAGGACACGTTGTGACCAGGAAACAAGTTTCCCCTTCTCATCGCACTCCATACGGCTTAAACACAGCTTTACCCAGAAATTACTCCTCTGATTAAACCAGAAAAGCAGAAACCTGCCCAGCTTTCTGTGTTTACAGGCTTTATAACAAGAACAAAGTAACAATCCATAGACATTAATGCTCATTCATGTTTTTAAAAGATCCAGGCCAACCCATGCAGGCAAAAAACCAGATGTGAATGGGTCCACAGGAAAACCCAGCACCAGCTTTGCCTCATTCCTCCCTGGGGGAACACAGGAGAAGAGCAGTGCTCAGTGCTGCAGGCTGTGCTGCCTCTGCTCTCACAGCCTGTCCATCGCATCCTACTGCTCCTTAAGCAACCCTAGGAGATCACTGCCCTGCAGCTAAAAAATTCCTGGAACGAACCCACAATGGGTCCTTCTTTGTTTCACTTATAAAATACTGGATTGCGACTTTCAATAATTGCACGTATAAAAAAACATTACAGTATGCATGCCTTATTAGTTAGCGTAATGAATATGAGCTCATTTCTGAATTACCAAAGCTCTCAGAAACCTTCCTGGACGAAACAGACAATTACTTCTTATGAGAGGTACTGAGAGTCAACAAAAAACGCTCCTTGGGAAGTGTATGAAAAAGATTAACACAAAACAAAGGCGGCTGTTTGAAACGGTGACAGAAATAGGATTCCGGTTGTCAAGGAGCACATGTTTTAAAATGAAATTATACGGCATCCTTCTGAATGAAGCTATTATTGGAAGCTAACAAGCTCTATTTAAGAGATAAGCATTTAACAGAGTCAAATGGTTTGCTTTTTTTTTTTTTTTTTTTTTTTTTAATTCAAATGAATAAAACTGAATATTCATTTGAATAATCTTTTCTGGAGAAGAGAAGACAATGAAGAGGGAGAAAATAAAACAAGAGGCAAACAGAGTCCGAGTGAGCAGCCCTGCAGGAAGCGAGACGGCAGCTCGGCCCGCAGGCACCTGTGGGAGTGCAGCCCATGGGCACTGCTGGCACTGGGCATCCTCACGGGGAAACACATCCAAGGGAATGGCCCACAGGGAAGGTAAGCCTGGGGAAATGCATCGCCTCCTCATGCACACGCCAGCCTGAGCTCCCTGGAAGCATCCCTGATATGCCCAAAATCACCACCCAGGCGCTCAGTGCCCAGCACACCATGCCCTCACCACTCAGACCCCCCGGCCCAGGGCACTGCCAGCTCTGCACTCCGGAGATGAGGGGAACGCTGCTCTGAGAAGCCAAATACAACCAGAAAAAGATTAAAACAAATCAGTGGGCGCCATAAATCACATGGAGAAGCCATGCTGAAGATACCAAATGTCAGCGCTCCTGTGCTCCGCGCTTTGTTTTTCTCACACTTGAATCAACTATATTTCACACCTTTGTCGTCACTTGAGAAGTTTTCTGTCAACCTCAGTAAAATATAGCTGAGATGACGACACCGTCGCTATGAAATACATCTGCTTTCCCTTGCAAGTTGGCAGCTGCTTCCCTCAACCAGGGTGCTGAGCGCACAGCAGTGCATTACAGCTGCATTTAGGTACCCCAGAACATCACTCAGCAGCAGAGCTACGTACACGTGGAAGGCCTTGCTCTTTCAAACCTGCACCAACAGAGCCAGTGTTTGCGTTGGCTGCAGAGACTGTGACTGACACAGGGACACTGCTCACACTGAACACCGCAGTGCGCCCTGCACTGGGGTACCACCACCTCCCAGCATCTGCACTATCGCCAACTGCTGGCCCAGCAGCTTTCCTAAGGCAAAGGATACCTCTGTTTTCCAGCCACAGAGAGGAGCTCTGGGGGCAGAAGCAGGGCAGTGAGCACCAGAGGAGAGTGGTTTAATCCCTGGCTGTCCCAGTGCCACCCCATGATACGGAGGAGATCATCTCCTTTCACCACATTGGGTCTGCATTGTCTACTTGGACCGTATGGTCTCAGTTAGCTGGGACCCCCTCCTACAGCATGCTGAAGTATGAGATAGCTCCTTAGAAGATTTCTGGGAAATAAGCATGCACCAAGGCTCTTTCGTGCCTGCTCAATAATCCATAAGACCAAGGGAGAGAAGGGAAGATATACACAGCCTGCACCACAACAAGAAGCATTGCTCAACTCTCACTCCTCTGCCAGGTAAGAACACCTGATGGGCATCCATACAGCACAGCTCCATCCATCGCAGCCTGGCAGCGCATGGGCTCACAGTGCTGTGCTGAGGGACACGAACCCACAACAGCCCCCAACAACCACAGCACCGGAATGAGGGAACATCAGCTCCAGTTGTGTTCCGTCTTTGCATTTCATCTTGGTACCCGATCATCCCATTTGTATTTGTTTTATGTCTCTCTTTCTCTCCCCATATTTAAGTTACTTAAGCAGTGAAGCACAGCAATGTCCAGTCCTGCCATGGCATTATTTACGCACCTGCTTTCTTGTTTATACCAACAGTTTTGGCAGCCAGACCTATAAACCGTAATAAAATGCATTTTGAAAAGCTTAAAAAAACAAAAAAGGAATGTGACCAGACAAGCCAGGCATAATAATATTAAGGCCCATGTCAATTAATTTTCCCCTCCTCTTGATAAACGAGCCCCATTCCATCCATTAATAATGAGGGAAGAAACAAGAAAAGTTGACACTGGTTTAATTTATTTGCTCAACTTGCCTGGTCATATTTCTCCCTGTTGTAAAGCTTTCTGGTGCTGCTGGGAATTGCAAGTGGCTCCCACACAGTCGATGCACAGATTGGTGTGAATCAATACAGTTCTGCTTTATTCACACATCCCTTGTAATCAGAAGGGAAGAAGTTCCTTAGTAAGTGATCTCACAGCCGCCAGCCCACCTGCAGCAGTAACAGGGCTGGGGGGGAAGGAGGGGCCAACACAGCAGGGTCTGCTGCCTCCTCTCAGAGCAGAGGTCAGGGCACCTCCGCTGCCCAGATGCAGAACCAGGACAGAATGGGTCTAACCCAGTGCTGTGTGAGGTCCCTGGGAACTGGGAACCAACGGGACAGCCGCTGCTGTGCTCAAAGCGGAGCCCCGCAGGACCTGCACAGCTCAGCCCTGCGCCTCTCCCTGCACAGCCTGCACAAAGCACGGAGCTCCCCCAGCACTTCAAGTCCCACACTGCTTCTCCCCCACTTCCCAGTTCCTTCTGTGACGTCTCCATCTGACAACCACAGCTTGGCTCATTACAGCTCAGAGTTGTTTGAGACAAAAGCTGTCAATTCTCATTTGTTATTCCTTGTTATTCCCGTTTCCTGAGCGGCACGCACAGAGAGGAGATGTTTCTGTCTGCTGGGGAAGTAACTCCCAGGCCTGTAGGCTATGCCCTTCGGATGGCACACACCTCACCTCCACACTGGGGCTCAGAGCAGCGATGAGAAACTGCTTCACAGCACTGCCTGCACACCGGGACAGCACAAGGTGCTGCTGTGTCAGTGCCGGCACAGCAGGGCAGCAGGATAACAGGCACCAGAGCCACTCGGCCTTTGCTGCAGGCAGCTGCGGTACTCGGGTCCCTCACCATCTTCCCACAGCTGCATCCCGAGGGAGCATCATTCAAAAAC